TGGTGTGCAGTGCCGACTACACCAATTTACTGCCATGTGAAACACATTTGGATGACTTCTGACACACGAAACTCATTGCAGTCTGAGGCCTGCTTACGCAGACCGAGGCACTTTCTTACACCCTCCCTGCCCCACATTCACTCCATAAATTCTTACTGCTTTAAGGACAAAATCAAGGAAGGATTCTGAGGTGGCAAGCGCTCTGCCTTGAAATTCAGTCTTGCTGATGTACCTGAGCCTCATAAATGTAATAAAATAATCATGGAGCGGAGCATTTTGTCAGGAAAAAAAAGTGGAAAAGGCAGAGCTGTGTTAATTAATGAATAATTCCTTCCCCTTCCCTCTCAGTTATACTGCTCCTTCAAGAAAGCTGGTTTTGGGGGTGAGTTTGTCTTGGAGAGATGGGAGTCTACATGGGCTGTACTACTCTGGGACAGCTTCAGACACACTACGTAATTCTCATTAGCAATAAAGGAATACACAGAAAGAAACTGGTTGGCCACATACAGAAACACACACACAACACGAGAGCCTAAATATACAAAGGAAAAGCTAGAAGAAATAGATAATGGTTTTGGGGAAGAAAAAAAACCCTATAGTTATTTCTAAGTACCACCACACAGCAGAAGAGAGTGCCAGAAGAGCTGTATGACACTGAACTCTGCCTATACACGTCCCATGAGCCCTATGGAGTCACACCATTCTAAGATCTTTGCAATAAGAAGAAAATTTAAAAATACTTAAGCAATGAGAGTATATTAAAAACTTGGGTTTTGGCAGCCTTACATCTTAGATTTATTTGAAAGGGATCTGCTTTGTTCCTTGCAATGTCTTGTGTCCGATTTGCTATCTGAGTAGCGTAAACTTCAACGATGTCCTGCTTGGTGAGATGTCAGGCCAAGAGCACATGGCAAAACAAGTGTTTCTTTCGCAAAACCCAACAGACATTATAATCAGCAAAAATGTTACGTTGTGTGATCAACGCTCCTCTCCATGAGCACGAAGGAGCGCAGCGGCACAACGGCAGGTGGGGGAACCCCAATGCGGTACCCAGAGAAATGAGCCCCTCCCGGGGCTGCCCCATGACTGCCATCCGCCCATGGGCCAGGGGTGACACCTGTCACTGTGAGTTACGAGAGAAGCTCTCCAGAGCACCTAGAAAGGTGGGGTCACTGCCTCCAGGAGTATGGGACTCCTGGGACGCAGGGGAAGAGCATTTTGGGATTGCACAAGACTCACTACAGGATTTGTAGCAGAAGGACCAAAGGCAGGGAAGGGGAGGAGGATCAGGGCTGCTTGGGGATGAACAAAGATGGGGAAAAAGAGGGATAAGAAGATAAAAGGGGCCGGCGAGCTGCAAACAGGTTGCGGTCAGTACACTTGCCCGGCCGTGCCCTGCGGGTACCTCATCGCCACGGTCTGCCCTGTCCTCGTTAAACTCTTCTCCTGGGTGAGGGGGTCTCTGTGCTGCGTGCATGGGGATGTAAGTGCCAGTCGCCGGAGAGGGGACCACAGGTCACAGGGGCCTGTGCGCCTCAGGTGCCCGTGGCTGGAAAGACCGGAGCACGTGCGCGTTCCGTGGGCCTGTGTGTCAATCTGCGATCGCCAGCAAACATCAAGGCAGACCAGCCAGCCAGCAGGATGAGAGCGGGGAGCCAGGGATCAAAGCAGCCATAATTTTGGGATGGATACTGGAGAGACCATAGATATGTTATTAGAGATACAAGCAGGTGTTCTGATATTCATTTTTTAAGTACTAGATGTGAAATCCATTAAAGGTACTAAAAGCAAGCCAGGAACCCTAAGAAATGACAGGAAAGCAACGTCACATTATGGCCACTGTACTCACTCTCTCTGCATGGTATCAATGCTTCTGAAATTTAGGAGCAACAAGTGCCTGTGGGGAGAAACAAAACAAAACAAACAAACACAAAACCCCCAAAACCAAACCCCTAAAACAAAGCCACTAAACAAACGAGACTAGGGATTTGTATAATTTCTTACTGTACACATGCCCTTTTTTGCTTCCCTTTAAGTTCAGTGATTCACAATTCTATCCCGAAGGACAGTGATAAAACTGGCTGATGCTTTACCTGGAGAAGATTCCTAGACAGACAAGTTTTCAAAGCATGTTCTTAAGTATTCTAAAGCCCTTAGATAGGTGATGGTTTGCTGGTATCCAGACCTCGGTGAAATAAAAGCCCCCCAAATAAATGGTTATTTTTCTTGCAAAACGGAGTAAGACTAAATAAACAACCTTCCAAAATGATTAGATTTCTGTCAGAAAGAACATTTTGACTATTAGTAAAATTATATTTTATTGATTTATGTAAATACTTAAAAGGCAACTACAATTTTAGTTTTTGAAAAAACTGCTGAAGATTTAATAATTCTCTGTATTATTTCGTTCATCTCGATCAGTAACTTTTATACTATGCTTCCTGGTAACATGTGCCCTGAGAAAATAATGAGAAAGAAAACACATGAACAAGTAATGTCTTTTTATTAAAATACCTCTTAAAACACTCATCGTAGTAAAATACACTGGATGTTGCTGTATGACATTTGCATACACACAACACTTACAGCAACATCTCGACAGCATCAGGAATTACAAAAAATAAGGCAAGCCCCAGAAAGTGTGCATCCTCGCTGCCTACGCTCAGGCCATTACACAGACAACTGTATTTACATTTTTATGCCCTTCCCCATAGCGTTTCCTGGACACCTGCTGGGCCAGTCCCAGATTCCCTCCTGCTCCCCACCCTTGCTGTTCCCTTGACTTGACCTCACAGTGAAATTCCGATGATGTAAATGGAGACCGTGCCACAGATCCATAGGGCAGCAGGTGCCCGACCACAAACATCAGCCCTGGTTTTCCCTCCCCAAGAAGATTCTGAACGACCATAATGTTTCCAATAATTTAACACTGCAAGAATCTGAAGCACACTAATGACCCGAGGCAATTCTGCTCCATGTCTCCTATCTTGGTCAAGAACGATGATGCATCACCCTCCAGCTAAAAACAGTCACAGCTACTCTAACATATTCTTTCTTTCTCTCCATTCATTTTAAGAAACTCAAGCAGAAGAAACAATAATATGAATTGTCAAATATAGGAAGAACAACTCCTTCGTGATAAGCTAAGTTCTTCTGTTCACATCGTCTATGATTTATCACTTAATTGCAAGTCTAAAGTATGAAGGTATTCCATTATCCACTAGTTCAAAACAATAAACATTCCTCTTTCAAGTACTTCTTTATAGCTGAAAAAGAGACTGAAGAAAGTAACATTATTTCACAAGAATAGATTTTTTTATTATTATTATTTCATCATACTGAAAGAACTGTATCGTGAGAAAAAACATGAAAAAAACATTCAGGCAAACTTTTCAACAAAATAAATTTAAAATGACTGCTTTCATTTGTACATGGTACAGACAGGTGTGACTAGAGAACAGTTTAATCCCTCTAGACTGAGGTTAGCGAGAGAAACATGAATACTGTAATTCTTTTTTGTGTGTGCATATGCATATATGCATTAAAAAAAATTCAAGGCGTTAAAACCCACATCATTATAAATACCAAAAGCTGATCATTAACTACTCATATACTTTATTCTTGTACTTAGTACCATTATCAATGGAGACCCAACTGGGTCATAGTAACTGCTATGTAACTGTCATCATATTAAAACTCTTACTTAGAAAAATGGACAGAATGTTCAAAACTCAGAACACCCTAATTTTGCCTTTGTGGACATCTCTCTCCTTCTTCAGTGACAACATTTCATGGGAGAAAAAAAAATATATATTTTGGAATAAATATTCACAGCAAACTACTAAATGGGAACTTGCCTACTGCCAACTGCTCAACTGGTAACCCCGTACCACTTGCTAGTTCATGACGTTTCATTCTTCTTTATTCATTTAGTCATTAAATCCATCATAACCTTTCGTGTTTCCTTTACTGGACTGAACGTTCAGGGAGTAAGCAACCCTAGAGAACAGTGCAAAAGGAGGGAGATGCAACTGCACTTAACAGCTTTATTTTGGTATCTAAGAGAAGACCGAAAGATTTTTTTTTTTTTAATATATTAATTATGCAACACAGGCCCCAATGTACTTATGAGACCAGGGCAAATGAAACTTGGAAGAAAAGTGTCCCATACATAGTGTTTTGTTGGGCAGCCCTTCTAAGAAGTTAGGATTTTATCCATGACAGCCCATGCATTGAACTTCAAGAGGAAGCATGAATTTTTCTTTTTCCCCAAATACCATTTTCACAATAGAAGGCTAAGCTCAAAAACTGGAAGGTAATAAAGTAAAAAAACCCAAACCAGAAACTAAACCAAAAAAACCCAGCCCCTAAAGAACAACCACGCCTCCCTTCCAACCTAGCAGCCATTTAATTATTTGTTGAACTTAGATGATGGGAATCTCATTACCATATTCTAAGGTTTCCCTACTCTACTACTAGATATAGTACTACATTCTGAAAAACAGTATAGTCAATACTTTCAAATCAAAGGAAAACAATCAGAACGGCAAGGATGAGCATGGCTGTACCATTCGAGCAGAAATAAAGAAAAATAAATTTAAAACATAGTGTGGAAACTTCTACTAGTTAGCCTTGCTTACATGAATTAAAAAAAAAAAAAAAAAAAAAAAAAAAAAGTTTTCAGTTTTTTTAAACCTTTTTTC